TAAATAGGTTTGTTGAAGTTATTGACCTTCAAATATCTTAACGAGTGGGTTATAAGAAGATTTTAACACTGTCAACAAATTATAACCTTACTAGGATACAAAGATATTTATTTACTTTCTTACTCTAGACTTATTTACTTTTTAACTTTAGGCTTACAAATTAACTTTCTTAAAATCTGTAGTAAAATGAATAGGTCATTTTTGATTTCTAGTCCGTCACTATTTTGATCTTCACGTTATTGTTTAAGAAATAAAATCCATTGTATTCCTATACCGAATTCCCGTGGGTTGTCTGTTTATACCAATAACAAATCCAATTTTTGATTGTCTTGACTTTAGAATTCTGCCATAGAACCGATGGACTAATTAAAGGGATTGTAAAGAGGTTTTCTAAACTTTTTATGTGTATAGGGGACACTGATAGCATCAATTTGCACCATTCCAATTTTCATTCCGGCGTTTTATGACGTCACTAAAGGGGAGCTACCGGAAGTTAACTATTAATAACATATGCAGTTCCTGTCTTGTGACGTTAAAAGCCCGTCAGTTATAGTAGAATTGCAAGGACCACAGATGTCGGAATGGTACAAATTGAAACTATCAGTGTACCCGATACACATAAAAAAAAGTTGGAAAACCTCTTTATAATACCTATTAGCTTGTAAAGTGAATACTTGGTTGACTACCAGTATTATATCAATTAATAAATACAATAATAAATATTTTCACTGTTAAAAAAGTACAACAATTGTAGAGTGATATAGAAATATTTAATAAGTATCTAAAATCTGAAACCATGTAGAATGAAATAAATGTTGAATTTTCACAATATTTTTAACTAATCTTGGCCATATAATTTTCTCTATGCTGACATTTACATTGGTATCAATAAGGTGTTTATTGCTTTAAAGGGATACAATCGTGTAATATTTTATTTCACAGCTTATAGACATCAAATTCAATTACCATTATTGAGAATACAAAATTTTTGTTTTATTGCAGAATTTGGTGATAGGATTTTAATTATTTAATTGATTAATTGATACAGATAGGGGGGAATAGAGCTCTGACTACTGTACTACTTAATGTACATGTAAATATCAATAACAGTGTGAATAGTGCAATTACCGGTATATGTTTGTTTTTAAAAAAAATTATTATGGTTGCTCAAATTTTTAAATATGGTGTTTGATATTTTAGGCAGGTGGTATGGATAGAACACGTAATCTCCCTAAAATCAGGGACGAAGAAAAAGAATCTAAATATGGTTATGTTTATGGAGTATCTGGTCCTGGTAAGTCAAGTTCTTGTCCAGTTTTATCAATAAACCAAATTTATTATTAGCCTAGTAATAGTGTTCACAGCTCACCGTTGAAATATGAGCTTTCAACTCCATGTGGGTCCTGAATTATTCATACAACATTCAGACTCTGTGATATATAGAAAAGACATACTTGCTTATACTGTGTATTTGTGCTGGGTATCGTGATACAATACATAATAGTGATAATGAGGTAATGGGATAATAATTATCAATTTATCTTCAAAGTTTCTATATATATTAATTTATAACTTTATAACTGTGAGTCCACTGTCTTATAAAAAGTTTCTAACAATTTCAGTGAAAACAATTGTTATATCATAAACCAACTTATAAAAAATCTTTTCTAAGGAATAAAAAGTATGATCAGATATTGATACATGATCTTGCGATCGTGGCTTGTCGTATTGCAATACATCGATACACTGATATATCGTGCCAGCACTACTGTGTATAGAGATAGAAAGCGAAATTCCTTTGATTTATTTATTTTTGAACAAATCATGCAACTTTCGTGCATTTCTAATACTTCTGAAGAATACTTACATATAACCTTATTAAAAATCCAAATCAACCCAATGAATGGCGAACCATGGCCTTTAATTTTTGTTATATTAA